TTTCCTTTCTCTTTGTTTTCTTTTCTTTTCTCTTTTTGTTCTACTTTCTTTTTTTTTTTTCCTTTTCCAAAACATAAAAATAAATAAACCAAAACTATGCTAATGTCCTTATAAATAAGGAGAAAATTTTCTTAATCCTTTTGTTAAAAGGAAATCCACCAAACAAAAACTTGGAAAAATAATTTAGAAGTATAACTTATATTTAAAACACAATAATAAAATCCAAAAGAGATAATTAAATTTCAAAAACTTTAGGTTAAGATTTAATTAAAAATATCTTCCCAAAATTTGAAAACTCGATTTAGCTTAACTAACAAAATTAAACTTAAATTATAATTTACCCAAAATTAGAACTCTAAATTAGAAATCCAAGAATTTAATTATCAGCTTAGGGGAAAAATTTAAAGGACCAATTTATAACTTAAGATAAAGATAACTCGAAAACTTGGGACGTTACATATACTATCCCGGTTACATCATACCAACATTGGATGTTTACTTTTATAGATTTAGACAATGCTATGTTATAAATTCAACAACAGATTTATTGAATATGAAACCACAACTTTATTGAATATAAATTTATTTTTACATTATTACAAACTACGAGTTCAAGGCAACACAACCGAACAACAAATATAAAAATATCAAAGAAAAATTTAACTCACCCATGTGGTCATTCATTTCGAAGAAACCATATAGGCTTAAATAAGAAATTTCACCTCCATACATTCATTGCATAAATCTCAAACCGAAAAAGAAAACAAGAAAAATAGTTAATCAAATAAGCAAAACAACTTCAATCGGCAAAATCCTAAGGTTTGCATAGCAAATAGAGAAAAGTCATACAAGATTCAGATGAATTTCAATCAATCAATAAGAAGAACAAAGAGCTAGGGTTTCAACAACGAATTTAAGAAAACTTCAACACTATGTATATATAGTAGAGAGATAGAGAAATTTACATGAATCAAATCAATATGAACAGACGAGATTTACATGAATCTAAAATATATGGGTTCAATACCTTTTAGAAAAAAAACTATCGAGTAAGAAAAGTACCTCAAAATTGGAATGGAGGAGGCTGAGTTTGAAGGTTCGATTTGGACGGGGGATTCGCAGTAGAGAGGAAGAAGGAATGGGGGGATTGGAGGGGCGGCGGGGCTAGGCGACAGTGGCGGGACTGGGTGACGTTGTTGGTACTCGAAAGACAACGAGAGGAAGAGACTTCTAATGGGGAGAAGAAAAAGGGGATTAGGGATTTTAAAATCACTTCTCCCAACATTTTATTAATACAATTGGATGCAATTTAAAATTGTAAAAACCTTTAGTTGGGTTATTATTTAAAAAAATAAAGATTTAAAAACTTTTTAATTTTAAAATAAAAGAATACTTTTAAAAATAACATATCCGTAGACTCTTACATACAACTGTCAGCTAGATTCACTTTTCCCAACTATTTAGAAAAATAGTCTGGAATCGTAATATTTAAAAAAAAATTAAAACAATATTGCCTGGCAATTATTAAAATAATTGTGAAAGTCCACTTTCCTGGCCCTTTCTCAAAAGAGTCGGGAATTGTAATATTTGAAACAAAAATTAAAAACAATAGCTCCCAAAAATTTATTAAAATATTAGTGTAACGTCCACTATGCCGATTTTTTTCTAAAAATAATCGGGAGTGGTAATTTTAAAAAAAATTAAGATCAAATTTTGTCCGGCTATATATTAAAATAGTCAGAAATATAAACCTCTCCAAAAATTTCAGAAACCGTCGTAAGTGGTAATATATAAAAACAAAAATTTCACCCGACTCTTAGGCAAAAACGTCAGTAAGAGTAACTTCACCTGACTATTCTTAAAATAGTCAGGAGTTATATTATTTTAAAAATTAGGAAAGAACAATATTGTAACGCCCCGCGTTTTACTCAGGTTAGGTTACCCTCGAGTCTCGGGGCCTCTTTTCTTAGAAATCTTTTTAATTTAATTTAATTGTTTCATTTCATTTTATTTCGAGCTGATGCGGTAATTGTTGTGAGTTATTGGCGTGTATGTACTTATTTAATTATTGTTTAACGAGGAGTTTGCTTTCTTTGGCAATTGTCCTGGGTCGTTGGACCAACTACTTAATTCTATTATTGGATATAATTAAACTTAGGAAGGTTGGAAATAGGATTCTACTATCTTGTTCATGGGCTTTGTTTTGTTTGAAC